TAGGAAAGAAAAATTCATTGAGGACAGAAAGTGTGCTACAGGTTTGGTATGTTGTGTGTATTACTAATTTTCTAGAGTTTATTACTTTGTTTTTCTTAGCAAAGAGGCATGTATGAGAGGAAGGTTTCCTAGAAGTCCTACAATCAATGTTGGCAGGAAGAGGAAACCAGTAAGAATCCGGATGTTTAATCAAAGCAGGAATCAGCTTGGAAGACCTGGCCCTGTCACTCATACTGTGGCCACTTTAGGCAAACGGCCTACGTTTTCTGAGTCTTGCTTTCTAACAGTTAATATCCTTCTTGTGAGCTTTGTAAAGACCACGGACCCTTTTGGAAATGCCTGGCACATAGATGGCATCTAGCAGAACACTCTGAATCTGGGTCTTGCTAACAGGATAGCAAAAAAAACCAACAACATGGGAGAGGTCTGTTGACTCCAAAGAGCAACTGTTTAAATTTTTTTTTTAATGTTTGGACTCAAGGTCTTAGAAAAGAAAAGGGCTGAGATTAGTTAACAGACAGAGGGTTAAAGTCAACATCAAATATTTTATTTCTTCTTAAATATTATTCTTTATGTAGCATGTGTTGGGCACAAAAAGAAATGGAAAAGTAGAAGGTGAGCAAATCTTGGATTTTAGAAATTGCAACACATAGGGAGTTATGGTGCACATTCAAGAAACCACTATGCAAATACAGAAATTGAGTCCTGGAGGTCTACCTAAAAGTATAAGAAACCACCACGGGGTTAGGAAGTCATAAAATGCTGCAGGGAATGGGTGGATGTCAAACATCAACAGGTAAGAAGTGTGCTAGATCTAACAGAACACGCCCTTACCTTATTCAATGTAAGATTTGAGCAGAACAAATTTAAAGCCCAAAGAATCTCAGAATCAGAAGAGCATTTACTGTTAACAATTTGACCTTCTATCTACCAAGAAGACAAGAGGTAGAAGATGAGGAGAAGAACTCATCCTCTCAAACACAGTAAGAACTGAAAGCCAACTTGCAAGTTTTATTTGTCAGAACTAAGACTCTGGAAAGTGCTGATTTAGATACTTAGGAGAGAAATATGTCAATAAAAGTTTCGTTGAACTGAATGTAGAATATTCTAGACCCTTGAGAAGGTCAGGTGGCGAGGAGACAGCAAACAAACACAGAAAAATACAAATACAAAAGAGCTTAGAGCAGTGGCCGGGGGGTTGCCTAGGTAAACAGGGAGGCTGCTTCCTAGTGGAGGTTGGGAAGCTTAAGGGGAACTCAGAGGCCTGTGCACCTCCCTCTCTAGATCATCTGCTGGGTCTTTCTGGGGGCCCTCTCTCCAAGTTAGTGTAAGACCAGTGCAGACCTTCACAGCAAGGCAAGACCAACAGGAATTCAGGGGTTTTAGGGTTCAATTCTCCTGATCTAACCCCATCTTGGGAAGCAGATAAAGGAGAAGTCATAAGTATCACTACTGGCCTCATGACCTATTACAAATAAATTCTCTAAATTTCTTTCAGTTTTGCTGTGTAATGTCCATAAATACTCATTTTCTTACTCTAGCTATCTATCCATCCATCCACCATCCTGTGGCAACATATTTATATTTACTTTACTTGGTATATATTTACTATTTACTTTTTATTATACAAATCATCAAAATGAAAAAAAAAAGAGAAAGATTAGGACATTATGAGTTCCTGGCCTTGAAAGTAGAGATGACAATTATTTTATTTTATGTGACTTTATTTTACTATTTGGTTTTTTGAAATAGGGTCTTGCTATGTAATTTAGACTGGTCTTGCATTCACAAGGTAGCCCAGGCTGGCCTCCAACTCATGCCAGTCCTCCTGCCTCAGCCTCCCAAGTGCAGATATAGTAATTAGAAGAGCCTTGTTTCTCTTTTGCAATGAATGAGTCCTACCTTGGTTTACCTAGGGTATGGACAAAGTTTGAAGAATTGAAGGGAGGAAATGAAGGGTACTAGAGAGCTAGGGAATGGTGTGATGATCACTTGTCACCAGTAGGGGAGAGGTCCGGCCTCAAAGACCAGACTTGGAAGGTAGGAAAATGCCTGTGTTACACAACTCAGCAGATAGCTCAGCTTTAGGTCACCTGACCCCAAAAGGCTTAAGTGCCCGGGGCACAGGTGTCAAAGGGATGTCAGTGGTGGGACATGACCTGTCAGAACCCTGGGCTTATGATTCATCAAATATTATTTGTTTTATTTTGTTTGGTTTGTGGTTCTGGGGATTGAACCCAGGGCCTTGCACATGATCAGACATGAACTACATGTTTTATTAATGATTTTATTTGTGCTCCTTTAAAATGTCTATTTTATGATATAACTATTAACTCATATACATTTTATAATTTATAAAAATATAACTTTATGGGTAAGGGAAATGTACACTTCAAAAATTATTATTTTGGGTACTGCTCATTCCAAAAGTTTAGAGGTTATTGGCCTATAGTAGCACCTTTCCTTGCTAAAGCTCTTGCTAAGAAGGGAGCTGGGTGTGGTGGTGCACATCTGTAATCTCAGCACTCTGGGAGGCTGAGTCAGGAGGATCAAAAATTTGAGCCCATCCTGCTCCTTCGTGACTTAGTGAGATCCTGTCTCACAAACAAACATCTAAGACCCCAAACGAAACAAACAAACAAAAAACAGAGTGAAATCTTTTACTTCTTTCAAAATAAATTACATTTTATAACTATTTTATGATGAATGAAGCCCTAAAATAAGAACAAGTAACTTATTTAGGTTGTTGCCTTGAAATGGAGAAAGCCCGGTCATACTTTTTGGGAGGTAAATGCTTTCAAAGGATTCATAAAAACAGAAGTCCCTGTTCCCGTGATCATTGTCAGAGTGGGAAGTACGATTGGCAAGAGAGCACTTTGAAGAAGCTAGCTGGGGACAAAATCCTATAAAACGTGCACATCACAAAATCGTGGCGCTGGGGTTATTCTGACCGGTTACACTGTTACACTCACTTTATTAGATCTTCTGATTCTTTATCAGGTTGAATGATTTTGTCTAAATTCTCTGCAAACTTAAAGACTATGCTGAAGAGAGCAGTGCAGAGCATCTTCGGTATTTGTGTGGTTTTCCTGAGGATTAAAGTACACTGCACAGGGCTGCCAGCGGGTAGGGCAGCTGGGAGCCACTGAGAGAATGAGAGAGACAGAGACAGAGACAGAGACACAGAGAGACACAGAGAGAGACAAACAGAGAGAGACAAACAGAGAGAGGCCCGTGAAATCCCTGGGAGGCTTGTTCAGCTATCGTGGTGACTGTCCTCTCAAGAACTGTGGGGCATCCTTCACAGTGGGCTGTGCAACACAGATGCAGAGGAGCCGCAAAGCGGGTGTGCGGTCCTCGCTTCACCTCTGCGGTAACTCGGTGGGCCACAGAGCCTGAGAGATGAGGGCTGCCCCACTGAAACCGAAGCATGCAGCCCCCCTCTCAGCGTTTTAAGTGAGACTCGGAGATGCGCAGATGCACTCCCATCGGGGTGCAATCCCTAGTACACAGGGAACTGCTGCAAATGGTGGCCTTTTCCATGCATCATTCCGTGCGAGAAGGAGCCAGGGTTCTCCCAGCCCCTTTGCTCGGGCGCACCAGGACTGACCGTGGATGAGCACACAGAGGTTGGGTGTCTCAGCAGTGCTCTGTGGGCCGTGGCCTGCCTCGCTGGAGACGCTGGCCCCGAGTGAACAAAGGAGCCAGCCTTCTGGATGCAGCGCCTGCTGGGGGTTCCAAAACAAACACAGACTATAAACGCCAAAGCCGTCCTTTCCCTCTAGAGAAATTCACTGCTGAAACAGACACTGACTTTAAATGAAGAGCTGACATTCAGGGGTGTGCCTGGCCAAGCCATGTCACGCAGGTGCAGCCAGATGTAGGGTCTTCCATTCCTGGGTGAGAGTTACTAAGTCATCCACAAGGTAGGAAACAAAGAGCATTCGCACTATTTTTGGATCTATCTTATTTCTGGAAACTGCTATCAGCTTAGTGTCTGGATTCTCCAAGCATGGGCTCTACTAACACCTCACGGAAAGACACCGCCCTACCAGAGGGAAGACCCTCATGCCCCCTTTCCTCCAGCTTTTCTTCCGATGTACACTATGTGAGTAAGAGAGGAAGAGGGAGAGGGAGAGAGAGGGAGAGAGAGGGAGAGAGAGAGGGAGAGGGAGATTTATAGGAACCAGTGGCAGATATACAGAAGCATATAATCTTTGAATGGCTACAAAGTGAAAATGGATGCATTAATATGTTTAATTCATAGATTTCAATGGGAGTTTTAATTACATAGATGAAGCATTTTATAATCCCTTCTTAAGTTCTTCCACATTTGCAAAAGTGAGTATTCACAAGATCAAGCGTACGCCTTTCGTCTGCTGGGCTGTGGCTAGGAGAGGGACAGAAGACGTACTAAATAGTAAATAACAATGGCAAGGTATCGCTCGCTGTCAAAAGCTGTAGCAAACACCCTAATGATACTAATCATTGCGGTGAGTAATTTAAGAGCGTCTTTCTGCCTTAGGAAGAAAGGCAACTCTCCGCAAACACAAAAGAGGAAGCTGAAGAGAACACATTTTAGGAAGGTAATCTGTGCAAAGGGGAATCTTTCAATTTAAATTTCCTTGTGTACAGACACAGTTAAGAGGAAGATGCCTCCAGATTTTTTTTTCTAGAATTCCCCAAAGATTGTTGTTTTGGATCTCTCCTCAGGCATCATTTTTTATTTTACTCCTTGCTAGGAATTCTTATTAGCCAATCTAACCATTCAATTTATCCTGCCTATTTTGTAATGAATAAATAGCGCATCCTGTTAATTGGCCACCTGGGGTTCAAAGAGGCGAAATGCAGCGCTGATGTCTGAACACGGTAGTGTGCTGACAACATATTGACCACACTCTATTTCACACGATGGAAAATCAAGCGTCCTCACCCTGTTCACTTCTCCCTCCCCGTGATCCATTTGAGACTAATATAATTTTTTTTTAAAAGTGATTTATTTCTAACAGATGTGATCTTCTGGCCACAGGGACCTGGATGCACAATGTCCCCCAACAATTTTAATTTCTGAATATCATAAGCGTATATTCCCACTAATAAATAATCATCACTCTGTGAAGGAACAAACGCCAAGGTGTGCGGTGTGACGACCAGGTACTTCTGAGCAGAAAGGACGAGGGGATGTACCCTCCCGAGGCCTGTGCTGTGTTCCATCTAGGTGTGCTAATTGTGGTATTTCTAAATGCAGGAGGCCATGAGGAAAGAACATTAGTCACAGTTCAAGGTGCACAGCGATGTTTAGGAGTTTGCTATTTGGTAGACGTTCAGTTTCTTGTACATCAGGTATTATACTCAGTCAGGTAAGAAGGACAGCAACATGTTGTTTCCTGGGACAGTGTAAAGCACGCAGAGTGACTGGAAGAGTGACCTGTCTCTCCTTCCCCCGGGTTCTTCAAGCAGGGGATTTGTGTCCTTGTCACCTGGGCTGTGAATGGTGCTTTGTGACCGAAGGCTAGTGAGTGTCAGTGTCACAGGGAGTGATATCACAGGCAGTGGTGACATCACAGGTAGATGCAACAAGAGTGCAGGCTGTGGCCCAGTACTGCCTGGGAGGAAGTGAACCATCATAGAATACTGCAGACTTGGGGAATATTCTAGAGAGTTTGAGGTCTCAAGTGGAGCTTCCAGAAGCCTCCTCACATTCCTCAGCCAGTGTCCTGTCTCATGTCCCCTTCCTACTGCCTGCCATATTGGCCTCTAGATTTGGAGGTAGCCAGGAGGTCATCCTGCTGGGAGCTGACTAGCTGGGTGAGTAGTGCATACTTTGGGGAAAATATTATCGGAGAATGAAGGGGGAACAAGAAGAGAAGACATGGTTTTCCTCTTTGTGTGGGTACAGGTTTGAAATTCCGGACACATGACAAATCAGCGTCTTCATGTACTGATTTGCTCTCCAAAGTCTACTCCAGAGCACTGAGCCACTCCTTCCACAGGCTCCGTTCTGTTTCACCCCATAGGGCGCTGCGCTCTGGCAGAACACCGTGGGGGTATGGGCACGGGGGAGAGCCAGGTGCCCTCACGGACCTGTGGTCCCTGACCTCAGCCTGTGCTGCTGGTCACCTCCCTCCTTCCACACCTTTGCTGGAAACTGCCAGGAATATTTTATTTTTGTTTACACCAGGTGTGTAACTATCAGCCCAATACATGGAGACATTTCCTTTGACTAAGCTTCCACTTACTATTATGCCCTCATTAACAACAGGATTGATTGCTTCAGAAATACAGCCAAACTTGCACTTTCAAGAGCACTTGTAGCGTCGCCGTCATACTTGTCACTAGCAAGGAGGCTGGTGAAGTCTTCTCCCACTTCCTCAGCAGAAATATTCAGAAAGGTCAACTCGGACTGCGTGGTATGCAGTCCGTCCGCTCTCCCCTCGCCTGGTGTGTCCTGCCTTCTGCACACCCCGGGGGAGGCTGTGGTGTGTGAGTATAGGCGGGCACGTGACAGGTTGTGCATCTCACTTTAGAGCACACTGCTGTGAGGCCACGCAAGAGAACCGCAACAAAGCCATGGCCAGGGCCTCTCCCTGAAAAACTTCCGGAGGGGACTGTGCTCTTGACATTATGCAGATAAAGAAGAGTTTTCAAGACTCTCTTTCCATATGAGTTCTTTTGTATGCTGGCTTGCCTGCCATTATGTTTATGTAATTCTGACAGTGTTCTTAATGACACACTAACAGATTGTAAAACACACTGCTGGCATTTACTTGTTTTTTATATTTTTAAAACAATGTCCTTCATGTAACAGTAGTTAAGCGCGGCAGAAGGACATCATTAGAGCCATGGTTAAACTGTAATTTACACCATTAGGAAGGCAGGAGCAATTTTTATTGCCTGGCAATTTTCTTGCTGAAATATTTGGACCATATGGCTCAATTTGTGTAATAACCTTAATTTCTACACCCTTCAGGTCTGCCTCCCTCTCCCACGGAATGGTAAAATGCGCTTTAGCAGAAAAGGCAACTGTCTATACTTAGAGAGTTGAGATTAATAACATGTCACGTCCTGTTTTTGGTGAAGGAATTCAAGCAGCAGCCAGATGGTATCTCTACAAATAACTGTCAGGGGTCTTGATCTAATCAATACAATGTATTAATACATCTCCCTTTGCTGTTTCTCCAGGGGCTGGCGTACAACATCTGGAAAGAGTGGGGGGCCCCGCCAAGTAGAAAGCCGATTCTTTTCAGAATCAAACTGAGCCCAATTAATTTTTCATGTATCCTTGATAACTGTTTCATAATGAGCTATGCGTCTTGACGGATTTGGGGTTGGCAGAGCAAGCTGCCCCTGCTTCCTATCCCCATTCAGTCCACTTTTAGAAACCAACCCATTAATCAAGCTATCTGGCATAAAACCTGAATCTCAGCTCAGCAAGAGATCAATAACCATCCTCAAAAAACACAGACCCAGCCACTAATGGGCACAGGTACCCAGCCATGACATTAGTAATTGCTTTAGCACAAATAAAACTCTGTATCATAATCACCCAATAGGAACTTCTACGGTAAAATTCATTACTTGTGTCTTGTCAAAAAGTAACATTTACGTGTGTTCAAAATATACTGTCATTTTACTATCTAGACATGACCATTATCTTTCAGAGTTAGGTAGTGCAACTTTCTGAATGGATTAAAATCGTCTGATTTTGTAATGTGAATATTTAATAATCCAAGTATCATATAAAATGTTTAAAAATGAGTTATTACACTTAATTTACATTCAGAGTGCCTCAGGGGCTTCTTCATTCAGTCTTCAGCCCTGCCGTGTAAGAAACACAGTGAACCTGTTGTGCTAACTCTGATACGGTGTCACATTGGTCAGATTTCTTTACTTTTTGCTTGGCTTAATGGCAAGATTTGCAATTGAATTCATAAAATCTTGTCACTTTCCCTAGTGGCGTGTCTCACCTCAAATCCTCACCCTCCCGCTAAATTCCAGCCAGCCATTTTACTTCTCAGTTAGCAAATCTCTTCTGGCTCAGCAAGGATTTCTGCACATTTGTTCCTCCTGAAAGAGCAACGCAGTGACTTTGTCTGTGGAGAAGAACCCAGAGTCGGGGTGGGGCGGGAACCCATTACCTCCTGGGAGAAGCATTCCTTATTGCCTCTGAGACAACAGGTGGAAACCGATTTTGCCCCTAGGAGAGCCTGAGATTTTGATCAGAAAAAACTCCTGGGAGGTTCTGCCAAAGAGTCATTCGTTGGCTGATCATCCGATCCAGCCCTGCCAGGATGACAGAAAGGCCCAAGGCATCATCCGGGAGCCTTCAGGTGATGTTACATTCATCTTTCCTGACAGCGTGACTAAGGATCATGATGCCTGTGTTTGTCCTGTTGATGGTCGAGGTCCTGTAGGATGAATGCTGATCTGAGAACCAGGGGTATGAATTAAGGTTCTCCTTAATATTTACAAGCAAAATCAATGCCTATGCCTAACCAAATAATTGCTGGCTAGATTGTAATCTGTCTCATTTTTCTCCAGCAATACCAGAATTTCCAGAGAGGACAGACTCATTTTTCTCCATATCTATTGTAGTTTCCGGTTGTAGTAAATTCTCAAAAGAAATTTGGCGAGCAGTTGATTAATGAGTGAGTGCCGCAAGATTTCTTGGTCCTGATCACCAAATTAGGCCTGATGTATCTTGGTCCTCCACTGCACATAGCTCACACTGTTCAAACATTCATGAGATTTCAAAGAAGCAGTAGCTCAGGTTTTCAACTTTCATTTTGTTTGTTGATGTCCACATAAATGCCAAGCATCTGACAAAGGACTGGTTTGTAGCAGAGGTGAATAATACTGGGCAAGAAAGCTACTTGAAAAACTGGATTGCCTAACAATATAATATCTGAAATACGGGATCCGTAATTCAGGGCATTCAGAATTTTCTAGTGGTGTGATGCCATTATCAAAATATTTCATTTATACAAATTTAAACCTTCTGTGACAAAGACAGAAAGTAGCTCCTGTTCTGCATCCTTCCACTTCATAGACATAATCAATGATGTTAGCAGTTTCAGCTTAGTAATATCCAGGTAAAGCACTAACATGAGGTTTCACCTTAAAAATGTATGAGTTGGAAAGATTCATTTGCAAACCCATCACACATGTATTCACAGGTGGTGGGTGTGGGTCATTGCATCTGGATTAAAAAGCAAATGTCTCTCTCTACATGAGAGGTCACTAGCTTGTGTAAGGCAAAATCTTTTCACTGTTAGGCATAATTAGAATATTCCAACAGTGGTTTCAGTAATTTAAAAAAAAACCCCACAGAATTGTAATATTTTTCTAGGCTTCAGGAGCTCACAATTGTTTGGTCCAATCAAATCTGGGAACACTAGAGAAGTTATCACCCATCAAGGTAATTACTTTCAAGTTGAAATAATTACTCTATCAATGTTAATGGTCTTTCAACTTCAATAAAGCACTCACCTGCCGATAATCACAGCTAACCTCTTGCTCTAATGCAATTCCCTCTCTATTTAGTAGGTTATATTACAGCCGTTACAGTGGTCACTTGTCCTGAACAGCTGCTGAATTTCACTTTGATTGGCTGTGAACCATAAAAAAATTGGTCATCTGTGTATGATTTCCCCCTCACCCAGAAGCCCTTGTAGAGCGAAGGATGTGATCTCTGGATTGTCACAGGGCACTACAGGGGCTGCCATCTTGTCTAAGGTGGTGGTGACTTTCCACTTGTGTTGAGAGCAGAGTAGTTCAATTAAATTCTGCCCTTCACTGCCATTTACAGCTTGCTACCTCTGCTAAATGGCGTCTATTCTGAATTTATAGCCTGGGCTTTTTAGTACATAGACAAGTTCACTTTGTTCTCTAGGATTTGTTTCAAGAATCCTCGGGATTCTAAAGAGTGTTTTTCATACTTGGTTAAAGACTGAAAAATAGCAACATGCATGGCCCAAAGTCAAACAATTTCCCCATCCACTGCCTCTTATGCCCTGAGTTGACAGTTTGGCCTTGGTGAACTGACAGATATGGATTTGGCAGAATCTATTTGGGTGATTTGGGAAGTGTGTGTGTGTGTGTGTGTGTGTGTGTGTGTGTGTGTGTGTGTGTATCCAAAAGACCACAAGTTCTACTATGAGGAGCCCAGGTACAAGGGGAAGGAAATCCTGTGAACCCATGGCGGGGAAACAGCAGCAGGTGGGCATCTCCTGGGCAGAGTGCTTGGAGTGGCAGGCACGAGATGCTGTGAGGAGACCGAGCAGTACTCATCCTCAGAGAGACAAACACGTTCTCACTCCAGGCAATTTAGAAAGGACAGGGAACCAAATCTGGCACTTGGGAAATTACCTGGAAATTTATAACATGGTGTCAGGAAACATTTCAACTTGCGAAACCAGAATTGTATTGCAAGTTGAAGACCATTTCAAGTACATAAAGCACTTGAAGTATTATTCACTCATGACTAAATTCATTTAGTTGCTCTGCACAAAGAATCGTATCTAATTGCTCATTTATTCCAGTCCCGCTGTTCCCAGTGCTCGGAAGGAGTCTAAAGGTTCGCAGTCTTCTTACACCGCCGTTTGCAGTACTCTGCACATGCATTAAGTGACTGGCCATCGCAGTGGTTCTGTGAGATAGGAAGTATCATAGTTTAGACCCGGAGAGGAAAAGGACAAGTGAACTGTAGGGGGTGGTTTGTTGGAGGAGGAGGAAATGTATGAAGATCCAAATGTGGTCTTCAAGATGAAGGAATCAACCCAGGCACGGTGGTACACACCTGTAATCCCAGAATCTGGGAGCCTGAGGTAGGAGGATCACAAGTTTGAACCCAGCACAGGTAAATTGGGGAGACTTTGCTCCCAAAAATAAAAAATGGAGAAGTATGAGGATTTACTTTAGTGCAAAGGCCCTGGGTCCAACCCCCAGTACCAGTAACTAAATGAATACATAAATATATAAATATAAAGATAGGAAGAAATCTAGATACAGTTTGGAAGTAGAACCGTAAGTAATTGGATATGGAGACAAAGAAGAGGGAGGACTCAAAGACAATCAGGTTGGATGATCCGGCCATGTAGTTATACAACTGGATGTGAGATGAACCTGCTTTAGGGAGCAATAAGTGTAGCTTACTTGCTTGAGAGAGGCTGGAGAAGCAAGACAGGCTGCAGCTCAGACCACTGGGTTAGTAACAGAAAGGCAAGAAGTGCAAGAAATGCGCTGGAGGGGCCTGTGTCTCATGGGGAGCAATTCGTGGGGTCCCTCTGGTCATACACAGAGAAAATCCCAGGGGGTGCCTCCCGCAGTCATTTTCATCTCCAATGATATCCAGCAGAAGTAGATTCCCAGTGTGTGCTTGAGACTCACAGGGAATGATTAGAAAACAGGGATGAAGATCATGAAAGGGTAAATAATGAAAAGGTAAAGTCAAGCCAAACACTTACTTAAAATTTAAGAAAGACCTGACTGGTGACGGGTAGTCATTGCTTCATGTGACATTTAGCTACCCACATTTTGCATCGTTTATATAGAATGACACATTTGTCATAAAATGGGAAAATCTTAGTTTACACAGCTGACACAAAACATAGGGCAATTGTTTTCATTCCCAATTTTTTTCTTCAAATTAGAAGAAGCACTGAATGAGTCTTTTGAGAATAATACCTTTCAGAAGTTTCCTTTGTTTAATAAATAGTGTAGGGGGTAAAAGCTAAGAACTGTGACAGTATAAGAGCTATACCTAACTTACAAACATATGCAAAGAGCAATGAAACCTTACCTTATAATAAGCCAAAATAGAAGTGGAACTAAAAGTGAACTGATCAGTGTACTCACAAACTCTCATAAGCATCTCCTAATTTTTTTTCTTGCCACATGCCTATTTAGTGGTAAGATTTGAGACACCCACACAAGGAAATTTTGAATACCTCTTCTTTGACATTGGGAAAGGGAATTTGGCAACTAGAACCCAGAAATTAGAGTTTGTAAATCTGGGTTTTATTCTCAGATTAGAAGCCAACATCTAGTGACCCATATAAATTGCTTACCCCTCCATCCCTTATGCCTGATTCTACACAGAGCGAAGCACCATCTATATTTTGGGGAATGGGCAAGGATACTCTCTGGACTGGATGTTTTATAATCCTGTGGGGAAAATGGATATGCTTAGAACACAGACTAAAAGGCAAACTACCTTTGCCTTTAAATCCCAAGTTATTTCTGCCAGGGCGATGGCAGGTGCCAGTGAGAAAAAGCAAACAAACCCGAATGGTGGTAGCAGTATCGCCAACCTCGCCGGGAGTGTTCCTGTAAATACCACCATGGAACTCTTGCATGCCAAGCAAGGCTAAATACAGCTTCTCTGTCGACACTGCACAATTCATCACAGAGCTAAGTGGGAAGGGAGCTTCAGGACCTCTAATGTTAGCTTGTTTTCAGTAGACAAGAGGACCGGTCTGGGGAGACCCTAAGAATCTTGCTACCTGTCTCCTCCCCTTATAAGGACCTTCTGGTGCCCAAAGGGACGTGACTTTTCATGAGGTTGACAGAGAAGCTAGTGATGCATTAAACCTATACTTTTCCATTTCTCCTCTCCTGCTGCCTCTGCTGCTGCCGTCGCTGCTTCTGCCAACACATTCGCTCCTCACCCCCATGGAGGCCCCCACTGCCAGTTCTCCATCCACTGCCACCAGCAGCAGGAGTCATGCCTCCACTGCACCTGCTTCATGTGGCTGTCAGAACATCCACCTGTCTATAAACAACTCTGGGGGACCTTGGGACAAGCTCGTGATAGCTTTACACCATAGGCAACTTACTGGTGGCCCCTTGTGCAGGGGCCGGAACCTGGTAAACAAGGAATGAAATGAGGGATATTAGCAATGCCTCTTGAAAATCTGCAGGTTGAATTGTAATCCTGCAATTGTGGGAACGAACTCTGTGCCTTATTTATAACAAAAGTAGTCCCTTTGCCTGGAGAATTCCAGCCAGTGTGGTCAATGAGCAGAAACTTGGAAAATATCCGAAGTCGAGCATAGAAGGGGAAGAAGACAATAAAATGTTTAGCTGCGACAGGATAAAGAGATAGCAAGTAGATCCAGGAAGGCAATTGGAGAGAGACTTAAAAGGGAGTTACCTAAATACAAGTGGCAAAAACTCAGCAGCAAGGAGCTTAGAAATCAAAATGCCCAGCAGGAGTAACCTGCGTCTGAGATGTGATACCCACCTCCCCCTATGGCTGGGGCTCTGTCTAAAGCCAAGTAACACAGTAGACCTCAATAATATAGCTGAGCATAGTATGGAGTATTGACATATTGAACATAGTTCTCAATGAGCATTTGCCAAATTTGATTGAATTGTCAATAATTTGTTCTCAACCTTAAAAGACCAGTGTAGGAAAAGTCATGCGGTTCTGAGCAGAAATAGATGCGCTTAGAGGAGAAAGGCTTTGGCTACCATCAAAGAGACATTCCTCCCTGCTGGGGAGGAGGTGAAGACATTTGATAAATGGATACCTTTTGCTATTTTCAATAATCGTTACTTAATTTTAAAGAGCTCAATGCAATCTCTATACAGGGAATTCAGGAAGGATTTAAACTCCAGAGCAGTGGTTTATTTTCCTTATGGCCTCTTTCAAAGATATTTGTCCACAAAGTGTCACGGTGGCCTGGAGCCCTAGACACTTAGTTTAGTGACTAGAATGTTGGAGTACTTGCCCAGATTGCTTCACATATTATGTCCTTGATTGCTTCAAAAGCTCAGAGGGCTCACTTTCCTGAGGAGTCTACTGAAAGCTCTGGTGACTCTCAGGGCCAAAGATCCAAGATTAGGGGGAGGGCCTTGGGATACACGCACGCATTCTGAAATGAAATATCCCACAGTATTGTTTCTTGATCATGCTGGTTACTCTTTTCAGCATTGCAGCGAATCATTCTCAGAAAAATGGAAGAGTGTACTGAGCCCGAGCTGTCAAAGGACTCATCAGCTACTTTACATCATTTATTTTAAACACAACTATCTATGAAGGAATGACTTTCATGTACGGTGTTCCAAAAGGGAATTCCATCGGAGCTGTGTGGGGGATGAGGCTGGTAGGCTCGTACTCCGGAAAGCCATTATTTTGAAAGATCAGAAGTTCAATCATTGTAATATTGTTGCCTTCAATAAATCATATTTAAATTAAAGTATCTCATTAAGGAAGTTATCATCAAGAGTGTTCTACTATTTTCAAGAAAAATTTTACTTTGAGGGCGAAAGTTTAGAATATGAGCTCTGAGGGTATGTGAGGAGCAAGTAACTCTCCTGATGGAGCACAATTAAAAAAGGTCTTTTAGGCTTGAGAACATGGCTTCTAATGCTGATAGTGAAATATCTAGAGGAGATGATATGAAAAGTCTTGGTACATACTGATAATTTAGTATAAGATAGGAAGAGAAAGTACTCATTCTGACATTAAAATGATTTCTTTAGTACCATCCTTTCCCTCACATGTTACCTGTAAGTTAGTCATATCAGAAATTAAGTACATATAAAGATTATAGAGAAACATTACACAGTATTTTAAACTACTCATTTAAAAGATTCTTCTGGAGTTTCATTAAAAGTTATTTGTATATTACTTAAATTTTTTGTTTTAGTTTTTCTTTTTTATTGTTATTATTATCTTAGTTTATTTTTAAAAAAATTTAAAAACTAACAAAACAACGAAGACAAAATCAAAACAACACAAAAACAACAAAGAAGATACAGACCTCAAAACAAAATGATGGGAATTAACAATGGTTGCTACATTATACACTGTTGTCTTCAATCAAGTATTTAAATATTTCGATAAAAATTATGTTCTATAACTTTCTTGTAAATTGAGCTTCCTAGATTTTAAGCATAGAAATATAGTTTTATTTTAAGTAGTGTTTTACCCTACTTGTAATCTCATTCTTATTCTTGAGGGTTTATATATTTAATAAGGTATTAGCATATTTTGAAATGTGTATGAGGTTTGATTAAAAATGTGATGTGTTTAAATAAAAAGTGATTATAGTCTAAGAGTCTTGAGTCTTCTTCAAAACACTCTCCCTTGCTTCAAACACACTTATCCCATCTTTCTATTTCTGCAGCAGTTCTGGAGGTTCTCTTTCCCCAGTGTCTTTACTTGTGCTGTCATGGCTGCCTTGATGTCCTGAATTGCTTCAAAACATTTATCTTTCATGGTCATTTTAACTTTGGAGATGAGCTAGAAGTCACACTTTGCTAGACCTGTGAGTAAGGTGGCTGAGGACACAGTGTTGAGTTTTTGTGAGCCTGCCTCGCTGTTGGATGGCCTGCAGTAGTACCTTTCACTGTATTTTTAATCACACTGTGTGAAGAGACTCACGAAAGAGGGCTTCCAGAGCTGCTTCACAAAGTGGCCAGAATAATGGCGCAATAAATGTGTTCAAAGTGAAGAGGAATATTTTGAGGGAAATGAATGGCAATGTGTCTTTCACTGTAATAAGTTATTATAATTTAAACATTCATCATATGCTATGATCACCCCTTGCACGTACTTAACTCCTAACATTGTTGTGCCTCATCTTCTGCGTGAACCCTGCGCAGCGTGAGGGCCTCCTGCAGACCTCTTAGTGCAGTTTTGCCCAGCACTTCCAGTTATTTTCTCTTGTCATGTGGTTTCTGGTTGGTAGGTGGTGAGTTTGAGATCTAAGTCTCAGGGTAATGTACATTCTCATTCTGTCCCTTCTGTGCAGTTCTCATCTGTGTGGTGTTATGGAAGAGGGTGTTTCCAGAGAGCCGGGCCATCATGTTCCTGTGTCTCTCGTAGGCCTTCAGGCTGTGCAGGCATCCAGGAGGGATGGAAGACACACCAGGTGAACAGACTTAAACTGTTTTCTACATCAGAGTGGAATTTTCCCCCCAAATCACCACAGGGCTATGCTACAAGGGACTTTAATAGTGCAGGTAACTTTAATGAAATATGTATATAAAATTGGCTTTTTGAGGGAGTAAAAAACTATTCTGTCTAGTTTTACCATCCTCATCCCTATGAGATATAGAGGGACCCACTGAATTATTCCCATTTAATGGATATAGAAAGTAGAAATCAGGCAGAGAGAGATGGATGTGTTTGTTTGCAGTAATGTAAAATAGCTGTGGTTCACAAACTGCATCCCGGTATTGCTCAGACTCCATTCAGTATCATAGCCCTATGACCACACTGATTCTTTACACATGTAAAAAGCTGTCCTATATTTAACAAAAATGACAAGCTGGATAAGAAATGAACTTCAACGCATCAAGCCGGTGCCTGGGCTTGGTTGTGCTGCCCGAGGTCTTACCGTCACTGTGAACGCGGGCACAGGGGTGCTGCCCCGGTCTGGGTCCTCAGGTCTCTCTCGGTAGACCACGTGGTACTGGGAGATGAGGCCGTTGGGTGACTCTGGCTCTGTCCAGTTCAGCAGAACGGAATGGGCACCAGTGGCTTGAACCCGGGGAGCCGGCAGGGCCTGTGGAGGGGCTTCCAGGGTCTGTGTGGAGGACCAGGCACTGTCCACGAAGCCTCTGGAGTTCTGGGCTCGAGCCCGATACTCATAGCGTGTGAAAGGCCTCAGGGTCCCTGCATCATCTGAGAATTCGAGGGCCCCTTCCAACCAGACAAACGCAAGAGACACATTTTCCGTGCCAGCAGGACGTCTGAAAGGAAACCGACCAAACAACTTCAAAACCAGGTCTGGAGAAGGAGCAAAACGCTAGTTAGAGGAATTGATAATCATGTCCACCCCTCACCTTATCCTTCCCCATGTCATGCCGAAGAAAGATCATCTGGAAGAGCACAGCAGAGAGTAGCTGAGATGTTCTCTACAGTGCAGATGACATTATATGGACAAATATGTGTGTATATGTGTGTGCGTGTCTCTATGCGTGTCTCATTCACTGTAACAATACGTGTTTCTCCTTAGCTCTTTTGCAAATGAGAAGATGACAGAGATGGAGGGGGAGGAGGCGAAGGGGATGTCGGCAGAATTAAGACGCGTTACGTGTGTACCATCGCCTCACGATGGATGAAACCACTGAGCACAGCAAATATGCAGTCATGAAAAGGAAAGATTTAAAAAAGATCCATGTTCTGTGGAAAATGAAAAACACAGCATACAAATAAGTAAAGCATCACTCCGAATCATATTGTGTTGTATTATTTTCCAGACTTCTTTCCTTTAAAAAAACACACACAATACAAGGAAATATATTCTTTGCAAATTAAAAAAAATACACAATCCTATATTAAGTGCTGGTAAAGCATTTCTATGTATTTTCTATATCTATGTGTGTGTGTGTACATGCAGTCGTATTGGGGTTTCGGTTTTTGCAAAATACATCATTATTAGGGGCTGATATTTGGGGATATCCTTGCCCTGTATGGTAGGTAGATTGCAGTGAGGGTCCCAGTTACTGTACGTCTTTCACATCCATGCTTTCTGCTCAAACCCACTTTGAGCTCGGCCATTAGACTTTCCTTGGCTGTGGGGCAGTAGGGGGTCTGCTGATTGCAGAGACTTGGAACTGTTTGCATGTGGAGGCTGCCCTTGCTGCTTTTGGGACTGGGAGACCCAGGTGTGAGAAGCCCCAGCTGGCTTCCTGGACGATGAGGATCACCAGGAGAAAGATCCTCACGATTCTTATTTCCTCTTATGTAGTACAACACAAGTTTTGCTTTCATTTCCAGAATGTTTGAAAAATGTTTCATATTCCTTTCCCGTGTGTCACTTATTTTCTCTTTAATTGGACTTCTTTAAACAAACCATAACTCCTCAAAATAAGGACCGTTCTTCCTTACACGTATGTTGCTATTCACCAACAAGCCTTTGTTAAACACTCGTACACCAGTCCTTGTCTCAGGAGCAGGGCCAGAGTGATGAACACACTCTACCTAGAGGAGATCAGAGCTGAGTGCAGTGGACAACCCTACATGCAGATTAGTGAAAACAACAGAATTGAAAATACAGTCGGAATTTACTTTAGAGATACTTAAAGGGGAAAAATCAAACTCATTGCAGAGCTCTCCTCTGAAACCTAGTGCAATACAGAGTATCCTGAAAAAAGTCTTTCAACTGCCTGAGAATGGGATTGTTTCATCTCATCTTTAGATTTTGTTCCATTCAAAACAAGAGCATATTCTTTTGATATTGAATAGATAATGCATTAAACATCTAAGCCAGAGAAATAGAATTGTCAGTTGCTAGGATCGTCTTAAATATCTGGTATTTCACTTGGAAGAGTTCCTTGGTTATTTGGAGGCAAATAATGCAGCTTTTATAGAAGGGAGAAGGTCCTGAGGAATTGGACTCAGTGCTCCTCTGCAGTCCCAGAACTGGAGCTCAGTACCTCTTCAGTCATTTTTTTTCAAATGTGTGACTGACTCATAGGCATATACTTTCATGACTTTTCTACACCTCTGACTTCTCTATCAATTTTTATATTCTATGAGGGTAAAAAAACTTAGCCTGGGAAGAATGTAGCCAAGAGATGGGATGTCCTCTTTCAGCCCACTCTCCAGGTAAGAAAAGAAGGATGAATAAATCAATATTTTCCAGACTGTTAGGGGTATTTAATTAACACACTTCAGATGCTGGAAAATGGACTTGCTGCCATATCAGATTAACCAGCTCCATCAAAACCTAACAGGTGATTAAGACGAAGTAAATGACAGTATGCTTTCACAAAAAGGCAGGGCATGTATAATCTTTGGCTTTGGACGTCTGATGAGTCTCACTGTAACCTAAGAATGAGCAATGACAAACATCCCACTGGAGGCTATTGAGGGCTCATGGGTACCAGTCAGTGACCTGCAATCACGGCTCGGCAACCCAGCTCATTATTAACTGCTATCATCATGGATCAGATTCCGCGCTCTGCATAGGTTTGCAGACTTTGGCCTTCGTGTTCGCTGCAGATATCAGGTACCAGGTGTGTCATTGGGAGGGCTCCATTCTAATGAGAACCCCAGGGCTCAGAGCCAAGGATTCCTCTCAGCGATTTTTAAAAACCTGTTTGCTAGAAATATAATAATGCAAACAAAGGTATGAAGTTCTTTGTGGGAAATAGCACTTTCTGTTTTGTCTTCCTTCAGCCTTACTATGGCAATTCAATTAATTTTTATTAAACTCCATGAATTTCCAAATTGAGATGTAGCCATGGGTTGCATAAAACTGACATTCTTAAAAAAAATTGCCTGAAAGTGTGAATATTTTGAAATCTACAGTATTTAAAAAATTAAGTACAATGTTAGCCCCAATGTTCTCCACCAAAACAATGAAAATATGCTGCCTGATTAACGCATTTATTCTCACTACTGAATACTTAATAAATTAATATCATGGAGGGGTAAATGTCCCATCTGTGCTGCTGAAACCAGAATCTCTTTATGTCTGAACACACTTTCAGCAGAAATGATTGAATAACTCGCAATTATTCCTAATCCATTTAGAATTTAGGCTTCAACTGTTCATTTAGTTGGAAATATTTCCTCTTAAAAACAGTCTGTTTTTAGAGAAATCACATCTTCAGCTCTTTCTGAAGAGCAAAGTGGTTATTCTTTGCTTATGCTCATTTGGGAGATCCTCCATATATTTTTCCAACTCAAATTAACTTAATGTTTTCCCCACCAAGGAGGAAAACAAAATAATTATGAGAATGAGGAAATGCATATTTTAAAAGGCATTCATACTTATGCTGTTTGAAGCATATTTTCCTACCAGCAATTAAAACAAAATCCTAAAACTCAATGCATTTCATATAACAATTTCACCATCCCACCCCATGAAGACTGTTCAAACACTCTGAATTTAAATGAATATCTAGAAATACCTGTAGTCAGAAGAAACAGGTTGCAGGTCTTGCCTCTACCACTTAGTTCAATGACCTTGGCCAATTTATCCTGCGACCTTTATTTAATCTTGTAAATTGGAGTTAATAACCTCTTAGTACATAACAAACCTCCCAGAAGTCTTATATGAGTTAAACTGAACACAGCAATGCTCGCGCAGATCACTGGGTAAAAGGCAGTGTACGGTACCCCACTGACGTCATCACAGAGATGATGTTCAGTTTTGCATAGGCCGACGGAGCCGGCAGTTAGAGAAGGATGGCCTTGAACATCGAGGTCTTCTGAACAGTGCGCGTGAGAATAAGTGCAGAGCCCAAACTGGGCTGCAGGTAGATGAAATGGGAACCCAGCGGGGGCGCAAAATGCCTACTGAAGGCTCGCTCATCAGGCTTGAAGGCCGGAGTGGATGTTTTGGTATTGGGGGAAGAGATGTTAAATACCTCCCCCACATTTTAAGAGAATCCTTTTAAATCTCTTTAGTTATTCATCATGTAGCCGGCCTAGTTTACCATTCCTAAATCCTAGGTTTACCACACTTAAATCCTAGTTTACCACAGGATTCACTTGCTGAAACGTCCATTCCCAATTTATATTCCAGTCATGGTCAAAAGCTTGTCTAGAGCCCCCTGGTTTACCACGCTATGTCAAGCTCCCACGGCTTTGGAATCCGTTCATTCTGTTTCCCAATACCTCATCTCATCCTCTACCCTTGTCTTCTCCTTTCTACACCTGGACTCACTCTAAAAATGTTGCCCTCAAAGCTCTTTCTCCGAAAGTCCTTCCTTTGCTTTGGTCCCAGAGTTACCGTACCCTCCCACTGCCTTTCTTTGTTGACTCTCTGTCACACCATTTCTCACAATGTGTCTTCTTCTTCTACCACCACACCGCACTACAAGGACTGAGCTGAGGACTCCCCCTCCCATTCCTCAGTCCTCAACACCTGAAGAAGCACAACACACTTGGAGATGCCATGAGGATGTTTTGAAGCAGTGACTGACTGGTTGACAAGAAGAATCCCATATGCTGCGGAACCTGATGAAACAGAAACCCTTGCCTGTTTTTAAGTTATTTTCTCTGAGCTCTAAACCTGCCCTTCTCCATTTGACTTTTATGATAGACGGTGTAGCCGGGATCCTAAAATGCCCCTCTCCTCCTCACCAGAGGACTCTAGGTACGTTGGGCTGTACTCTTGGGGGGTGCCAGAGAGGGGCCAGGAAGCAGAAAGGAGGAAAATGTTCTTCCCTGGCTGCTTTGTTTGGTAGCTGTTAAGGCGAACGCTTGATTCTCCCACACTGAAGGAGCATTTCCTGCCCCCTTAGAAGCAGATGTTTTCAATATGCGACTTTTCCTCCACTTGGAACTCCAACTCCATTTCATTCTTTCCAGACACCTGTAGCAGTAGCAGCTGCCCTCTCCCCACCAAGTCTGTGTCCTGGCCACCAAGTTTCCGTCCGCTGATCTCTAAGCTTCAATCATTCTGATCATTTCTCCATGTTCCCTTAGGCCTAAGGGTAGCAGCTCCTTCAAGCAGTTGGCGCCTCTGTGATATCTTAGGGTTCTCCTTTTATTCTTTCACTTCCTTAGTTAACAAATTTGTAACTAGTGGCTAGTTCTTTACATTATGTTCTTTCTCTTGGTGTAACTGGAATGATTTTTCTTTCCTCATTGTACTTTGATTGCAACAGGAAGTGATGCCGACGTTCCCAGGACAAAGGAAACAGAAAATGGTAAAGCAGGTGAGAGTGGTGCTGGGGGCGTGTCTCAGTGCTACAGTGGTTGTGCAGGGTGTGGAAAGTGCTGGGCTCAATCCCAATACTACAGGGAAGGAAAACCGGGTGATGATAGGTTTGCAACCATTTTATCTTTGCTGCACCACATAATATACTGATTGTGAAAATTAATTAGAAGACACAAATGAACAAAAGAAGTACTTAAAAGACCCATCAATAACCTGTGACTTGGAATAAGTCCTGTTAACATTATTTTGGTATTGAAAATAATCAACACAATCCAGACATTTTTCATGCATGCAAAAATATAAATAACACTGTGTATTTGAATAAAGCAGTTTCATACTAGGCATGTTGTCATGTAATTGGCTTCTTTTTATTAGCAAGAACCTCTTTCCTTGTCCTTAAATATACATCTACAACTGTCAGGTTTGCCTTTCTAAAGCCAAGCTTCGGACAGCACATTTAAGACGTCTTCTTGCTTTTATTATGCGTCTCCTCTAACACACTACTTTCACATTTATTACTCCATTTAGTTCTCACACAGTTCAAGGAGACTGATCATCTTCTGTGTTTAGGAACCTAACTTTACAAACATAGAAGATGAGAGAACAACTGATTTGCTCAAGGTCACGTAAGTAATAAGGAATGGAAACCTCATCCCATGATCACAAATCCCATGCTCTTGCCCTGCATCACAGGTAGAAGAAATAATTGATGTGGCATTTTCTTTAATCTAAAGAGAATTTAAAAAAACAATAACAAAAGAACAGCAACAAAGACAAAAAACAAAGCAACACAAAAACAATAAAAATGATACAGGCTTTCAAAACAAAATGAGAGGAATTAACAGTGGTTGCTATATTACATATTGTCATCTTCAGTGAAGTTGCTCAGATTACCAGATGTAAGAATGCAAGACTGATCAAACAATTATAGAGAATAAAAAGTAATAAAAAATTAGAAATGATACAGAACTTCCTTAAACAAGATGGTAGGGATTCAACAATGGTTCTTATATTGCATATTGCCTTTGAATCAGTTGTCCAGATTACCAGATACGGGCATGTAAAATTGCTCAAGAAAAAAAAATGTAAGCATTAACTACTCCTTTGAATAAATCATTAGGTGTCAGCAGTGAAGACATAAGTGTAGGCAGAGAGTTCACGAACAAAAACCAAACTGCATGGGAGATACTTCAAAGAATCAACAACTAGATTCTCATCTTGTGGAAAAGATTTTGCACATCAAAAGAAATCACCAACGGAGTAAAAAGAAAACCCACAAATTGGGAAAAAGTTTTAGCCAACAGTCCCTTGGACAAAGGACTTCTATCTAGAACATATAAAGAATTAGAAAAAATCAGGCCCCCCAAATTCAAAGACCCAATCCAAAAATGGGCTGAGATGAAGACACACTACTCAGATGAAGAAATACAAATGGAAAATAAATACATGAAAAAATGTTCAACATCATTGGTCATTTGAGTGAGGTGGCATTTTTAATATGGTCACAAAATGGACACTTTCCTTAACATGTAAAGAGCATAGATAAATTAACAAGAAGCATTCCAACAGAACAACATAGATAATATGGTTCCTTTTCCTTAGTAGTATTTACTTCTTTTAATAAGATTATATATGCATGAGTAAGTCTTAAAGAATGGATAATAGCCACTGATTTTTTTTGTAATGCTAATGCTTTTCCAACAAATGTATTTGTTTCACAATTTAAATAGTCATTACCTTTTGATTTTGGGAAGCCTAGTCCCAATAACATTGAGCTTATGAAATCTTGCATGAATATTCCAGAAATAGAGCGGGAAACCATCTTCTCTAAATTTTCTGCCTTTTATATTTCTCACATTACAGTGTACATTTTTGTTTACTTAGTTTATCTTAATATACTGTAGTGACAATTATTGATAGTAGAGACCGGGTCTTAACAGATCTTTATCAGTAGATAGGTACATCTATGCATGTATCTGTCCATCTTAAGATCTATATCAATATCTATCTTTCTACATGATATAAGTTGAATTGCATCAAATTTCCCTGGCCTTTGCTTTAGCACTCGCCTTTTGTTAGTTATCTCTACCAGGTTAATTAATCATTCTAGAAAATGGTCACTTTAGTTTTCCACCTTGGAATATAAGGAATATCCTTATGTATCTTCATCTTTCAAAATCTTCCCAGATTTTATCCTTTAAAATCTTTGGGAATACTCAGAAGAAATGGTCTTTTTAAATTTTCTTCCTACTTTATGGTGTTTACAGGGTACTAGTGTAAAGTTTTTGTCTTTAAGTGTATATAGTTGAAATATTTTATTAATTTCAAAAAGAAAGCTCATGAGGTTATAAACGCAAGCAAAGTTGCTTCATTTAAATGGAAATGCATAGCAAGAGTGGATAACTTTATTATGTGTTTTGTAAACTCCCAAGATAACGTCTTGGCTGGATTTTGTAGCTGGAAGCGAAGAGATTTCTGCCAATTACAAAGCTATTGACAGGAGATAAGGAGGGGCGGGAGGTGAGGAATTCCTATACAGTGGAAACTCCCTGGGAAGAGCAAGTAAAAGCCCAAGACAGCAGTTGGCTACGCCTTGTCAGTAAATAGGCTGCAAGACACTAAATTAAATTTTCTCCTGATTCTTTATCACAGTCTTTGTAGGAAATCTTGCTTTGTGGCTCGCATGTAGTCAACAAAGTAGTGTAGTTAACAAGTAGAGTAAGCTGCAGTCACCATGTGAATGGTTTGTCTCTAGTAAGGTCATTTATTTCACTTCGGAAGTGATGAGCATCTCCTCTTTTTATTAGGGTGGACACTTTTTTCTAACGGAATAATCTGGAGGCAACATTTAAACAATAGAAGGGAATCACAGAAGGAAAAATAGCTTCCAGGGACCGGTGAGGACAGCCTTTTCCAAAGGAGATAGGAAAGTTGGCTTCCCACAATGTAATGAAATACCTGCATGGGCCAAAGCTTGCCTTTGGTTTGAGCTAAATGTATTTCCTTTGGTGGCAATAGAAGAAAGAGGCGGCAAATGATGAAGCCAAAATTGCATGCCGTAACCTCCTCAGAAATACCGCCGGCCCATGGCTGTAACTGTACAAGGGACCTGTGTAGTCTTGGGATGAAAAAGAACTATGTGTCTACATTCTATTTCTGTCCTTACAAATTTCTGATTTTTTTTGCAGCTATCTAAGAAAAATTTGATATTGTTGTTGTCTAAGCACATTTAAACTTCAGCTGGAATAACTGCCAAGTGATTCATGCCTATGTAGGCGAATATAACGATTGTATCTGCAGCCCCAGTGTGCCATTTTCATTTCACTTTAAATAAAAAACAAAATGTATCTATGTCAGTCAGTGCCCTTCCGCTGTACTCAGAGGTATCAAACAGGCTACAATTATGATTGTGAAGTGATTGTGTCACATTGGAGGAAGGTTTATTGCTTTTGAGTCTGCTAGGCAGTAACACACTCTGCTTCATATTACTCTTTATATCATTGTTTGGCTGTGACTAGAATAATCAAATGCCATCAAATGCTGTCAAATTCAATTTACAGTATTTTTCATTGAAGCAGGCTTTCTGCATTATATTTCCTGCTTTCTTTCTCCATAGCTGCCATGGAATAGTCACTGTAATCATGAGCTTTATTTACAAAAGCAACAGAGTGAAGCCACGTCCTGCTCTCCAACAGATACTTTATTTCCCTTTATTCAGAATAGGAATTTGATGTGCTTTTCTCATACAATTAGCATTAAGGAGATGAAAGAAAACTATTTCCAGAGAATGGGCATTTTAGAGCCTGCACTAATGTGCTTAGCACAAAATGTAAATTCACATTAGCCATTTTTACATGTTCATGTGTATTTGAATCAGAAATATTATTCTTCAAATTAATGTTTGCTGAGAAGGAATTGGGCTTGCTCATTGTGGGTAATGTCATTTACATAACCAGAGACACAGCAGTCCTTTCTCTTTCCACTGTTTTCCTATAAGCCCTTTGCTCATCCCTGCAGATGGATCTGAATCATAGATTTTCCATATCCGAATTGAGAAAGGAGCTGAAAGTTAAGTTTCACTAAATGTTCAGGTTATAGGACCAAATAAGACAAGGTGCCAGGCTGCTTCTGAGAATACCAAGGACTTGAGGGGTAGGAGGAGCTGACAAGAACCCTGGTGTGCCTACCGGTGTGTCTAAGGTGCAGATATTGTTTTTGGAGTGGGGTTTGCAAATGGCAGGCCCTGGACTGTGCTAGTGTTTGTCTTTTCTTTTCTTTTCTTTTCTTTTCTTTTCTTTTCTTTTCTTTTCTTTTCTTTTCTTTTCTTTTCTTTTCTTTCTTTTTCTTTTTCTCCCCAGTACTGGGCATTGAACCCAGGGCTTTGCTCTGAGCTATACCCTCAGCTCATTTTTTGATTTTTATTTTGAGACAAGGTCTCACTAGATCATTAAATTGCCCATTAAAGGCTGGGCTTGCTCTGGTGATAATCTTCCTGCCTTAGCCTCCCAACTTACTAGGATGACAGGCATGTACCACCATATTAGGCGGCAGCGGACCTGTCTTTCCTGTTGTAGACGTCAAGCTCTTTCCGACAGTTTGGCCCTGGACTTTGTTTTACTTTCTCCTTCCTTCTACTGTCTCTCCTACTTCCGTCCCCTCATCCTCTCCTTCCTCCCTCCCTTCTCTCTGTCTCCTCTCTGTTCCCTCTCTCCTTCTCTCTCCTCTCTTCACAAGAGGGGAGTGTCAGACACTCATCCCTTCTCTGGTTCCTCCTCTGGAAAGACTTTCTCCTCTTGGTCAGTGTGCTCTGGGGGCTTATTCTACTTGTTTATCGTGAGCTCCAAGGTCTCAGCTTTCAAACTGACCTCAGTCACAAAGGTATACTCGAGGGGCTGTGGCTTCTGTCTTTGGGTGATGTGCAGAAGCTCTCAGCACCTGTCTCTTCTGTAGCAGGTGTGCTCTAACAGCACGAGTGCCCTTCCACCCAGCACAGAAATGAAAAGCGCATTTGATGTGACTTTCTCAGAACAGTGCGCGTTCCAACACAACTACAAACAGGCTCACCTGTGAATGAAGTAGCTGGTGATGATTCCATTTGGATTTTTCGGTGCCATCCATTGGACCTTGGTGCAAGATGGCCCCAGTGCCTTGAGAAGAGGGGCACTAAGATCCTCGGGGACTGCCTCAAGTGTCTTGACAGGCACCGTACTGCTAACTCCACACGCTCCTTGAAAAAGAGGTGAGGTCTTTAATAATTTTTTAGGTGAGGAAAAGAGGGTTACACATGTACATAGCGGGGTGTAGGACACCATGAAATCATCTCGTCTGAACTTTTGTCTACATACTTATGCATGTATGTTAGACTAAAACTATACATATTTATAAAATGTGAACATTTAAATAGGAAATATATTTAGAAAACTTATTAATGAATCACATATATGTAAGCATAAACAATCAAGCATATGCTCTTCAGAACTACCATTTCCCCCACTTTGTTGACTCCTTCTAGCCAAAAAGTGATAATGCATTTGAATTTCGCAAATGTAGACCTGGTCTGCACATCTTGGACACTCTTAATGCTGTTTTATTTTTGCCAGTGTTTTTAATAAGTGCCTCTTCTTCACACAGGAATCAAACAGAAGGACACTGTACCTCCATAGCCCAGTTTCAGGGAATGGAGATTAGAAGTTGACTTTGCCTTTAAATCAAGAAAACACTCATTTAAAGCTGGTTCCATACTGATCTGCTGAAGAGGGGATCAGGAAAAGTCATATCCTTCAAGGAAAGTTGCCCTGGTCTGGGTGATAGAGACACTCACTGCCATTGGACTCACGTTTTCTGATCCTAAACAAATCCATAGGCCCTAGCACTTGTGTGGAGGAGAAATTCCCACAACACTGGAGTTGGTGTGTAACACGGGAGCTCCCTCCACACACTCGGCACAAGATTGGAAGGTTTCTGGAGTCTAATGTGAGGTACATGTTTCGTACCCCAACATGAGCTACATCTTCAGTTAGCAGTTAGGAGTTCTGTAATGTATATGAGATCTATACACTCATATGTCAATGTATCTGTATCAATCTCTGTATTTAAATTAAAGTGAAGATAATGTAATAATAATTTATGGTTCTCTTGATTCCCTGTCCTCCTTTCCTAAAGCTCAGTTTACATTTATCCAATTATCCTCTTGGAGGGGTGGTGGGAACGGGCACATCTTCCTTAGGATAACACAGATAGAGGATTACGTCACCACCCACATTACAGAATTCAAGGTGACAGTGTAGGCACATGACACTGGGTTTGAGGAAGCCCTGTAAAACATGTAAGATTCATCTGAGGTGATTCAACTTTTAAATAACTTCTCTTTATATCTTGATTAAATTTAAATAAAACCAAGATGGATACATTTTCTAAGAATTTTTTGTAACATCCACTTTGTTTTACATTACCACTATCTCTGAGTGAAGTAGGTATTTTTCTTCTAAAGGGCCTTATAAAACAAGACTTTACAAAACCACCATTATAATATATTTAAATATTCATGATTTAATGTGCAGAAGTGCATAATGCTTTGCTGGATGGCAGGCTCTGAGTTTTCTGGGTAAACAGTCCACTACAAATAAGAATTGCAATGTTAGTCTTTGCATGTGAACTGAGAGCCTATTCCTTTTTAATGAAAAAAATTGTTTATGAAATACTTTCCCATAAAAGCCCAAGCCAAGTGTCTGAAAGGCTTTCACCATTTTGACATGCTTGTATCCTTATCTCATACTCGGTGAAAGGAGCCAGATTTTCTAGAAGGGTGGATTGTTGGTGACCGACAGAGAAGGTCAGAGGTGTGACACTCCCATCATTGAGTAGGACGTTGTACTCCACAGGAATTTGGGGGATGAGGATCCCTTTAGAGAGACAAAGAGGAAGAGAAGCATATACAAATATTACACAAAATGGTCAACAGCCACCTGTCCTTTCAGAAAAATATACATTTAAGACGTTGTCATTGAAAGGTATTTGTTTAATAGAGCAATTAAAAGCTACACAAAACCTAATTTGAAAAATATCAGAATGTGCTGTACCCGTTTCTTAGAAATTGTAATATTTCTGTTCAAAGCTATACCTTACTGATGAATAAAACTAAAGGCACATTTCACTTAAGAAAAGACAAGGCAATTAGGAATTGTGCCATATATTTTTTTCTAGGTTTACTTACTCTTAAGGTACATAAAAAACATCAGTTATGCTTGTGACAATAATTTTTCTGTAGAGCATTGTGTATGCATCCTGTCTGACACGGATCCTTGACATAATAGCCCATAAAGTCCGCAAATCACAGTCTACCTAGAGAATTCCCAGTGCATTAATTATTGAGTTGAGACAGTCCACTCTGTCAGTGAGACTTATGTACCTCAAATACATATGAAATTTGGGTCCAATAACTGTCATTTTTCAGCGTTGCTTCCTAAAGAAAGGAAGCGTTGTCATTTTGGCCTCTTCACTATCTATTTATAAAATTAAATGCTTGTTGAGTTTTATTTGGTCATGACCAAAATATATATTTTTTCAGGGAGAGGATAGGAGCTTAGAACAGAAAATATGATGGTGTTTCCTACTAACTGTCTCACTGACCTGAGAGCTTGTAACATTTAGGGATTTAGTTACTTATCTTGGACTTAAATTTGTCTGTACTATAGAAACAACAGAATGGGCAGACAACACCTGTGAGAAAATAGCACAGGATTCAGGATGCAAGAGATGAGGTCTAATGAAGTCCATGGAGCTCTGATGGTTAAAGGCACACACCAGAGATACTCAGGATTTTGTGCAGGGCGGATGGAAATAAGAAGTCTTTTCAGAAAGACCGATCAACTAGTTCCTCAAGAAAGGTGTTAAATTGTGCTGAATTTGACAATTAAGACTGAGACTTTTTGTTTTAAAATTTAGAGAACTCTACTTAGACCTCATGTTACACGTTTCCTAAGTGTTGACCCTACTACATTATATTAATGATTCCTAAATGCTTGTCTCTGGCTTTACACCTGTCCTGAAGTTGAGATTTTCAGCAGCCTCCTAGACATTTCCACATGAATCCCCATGGAGATCTCAGCCTCAGCAGAAGGTCCCAGACAGAAGGAGCTGTGTCTGCTGCCCCCAGACCTGCTCTTCCTGGCTCTTCTTTCAAGCAGTGATGGCACCATCTCCCCATTTCCAGGGCTACAGGCCTCAAGGAGCCTCAAGAGACCCTGCTTTCTTCACTCCTAAACTTGTGACCACTACAGTGTATTATTTCTTTAAGACATTTTAGCTTTTTCCTCCCTTTTCTTAGCAGATGTTTGTCATACGCAATAAATGCATGCATTCTGGGGGGTTGGTGCATACACATCACCTTTGATCCTTTACACTTCTTTCCCTCCTTGCCTCTCTCCCCTCATCTCCATATCCCCTTCCTGTCTCCACACAGTTCTAAGATTCTGAGGGCGTTAACAAGATCCACCCTGCATTATTGGAAGATGACAGTCCTGGCAGGTAAGTGATGGGTTCAAATTACTAGCGACAGGAGGTAAGGAGAGCACCGTGGTAGTCATTACATAAACAAGACCATCATTTCACTGTATCCCTGTGCAGTGCTAAGCAGTGGCCATGGTCTCTTTTCATGCCAGTAGGATGCCAACTTCATAAAGCCAGAGCATTCTTCTCTTTCGTGGTGCAGTTTGTGTGTCTAGCTTTCTAACACAAAGTAATAGTTCAACAAGTATTAGTTATCTGAAGAAATAAATTAAGGTTCAGGACAGTGCTGTAGGGTGAACGCTATTAACTTCTAAAGATTAAGAAAATTAAGACTCAGAGAAGTTAAGTAACTTGTTTCAGGTTGAACATGGATTAACTGTGGTAGCTATGACTAGAACTCAGGCTCATCTGGTATCAAAGCTTATCCTTCTGTTCTTATGCTCTCTTGATAATGTGGTCTTTGATTAGTACAGGGAAAGTGACAGAACATGGTAGCAAGCACCTGTACACACAGGCAGGACAGTTCTTAGAAATGATTTGATGCAGAGAAATTAGTGATGGGCCAGGCATAATCTCCAGTAATGGAACAACCAAACTATAGGTGACTACTTAAAGTTCTGACAACCAAGTCTCCTACCCTGAGAGACATGTACCATGGATGTTTGTCAGTTCATGCCAAAGTCTATTCAAAGTCAAGAAATGTAGTACCTGCCTCTGGCACATCACTTTGACTTGCAAAATTTGGACAGTGTATGATTTTCCTAGCTAAATCAAGGAACTCATCAGGGTCTCACTTTTGCTTATCCACAAAAAAATGGGTGTCAATTTTTCTTCCTAAGTAGTTTGAGAAGAATGAAATGAAATAAACTGGGCAGTGTCACATAGCTGTCTTGTATGAGAAACCCCCCAAAATTTAAAGACCAAAATAAAAGAGAGAGGATAGGAAATAGGGACGTAGACTTTGTGGAGATGGGAATGAATAGCGTAGTGGGGCAGCAGGGCGGGGAAGGAAATGGAAGTAAATGTGACCCGGATGTGGAATCGAGGTACCAAGCTCGCACAATGAACAAAACTATTATGCATCAGAACACACACCAACGAACAAGAAAATCGTATGTGTGGTGAGCAATTAGATCTTTTGCAAGACACTGGAAAGTTAAATGAGCTGATAGCATCTAAGAGGGAACTAGTTGTATGTCCCCAGGAAGTGTTCACACTGACTTAAGGTGCTGCTCAGGACGTCCTCAAAGCGCGCTTTAACTGCAGTCTCTCCCATTGCTTTAAGCTCAACCCACCCCAGGGATCTGCCCAGAAGCACAGAACTCTCACTATGGCCTGGCCCGCGTTGCAGCTCAGTCTCAGGTACTAGAGAACTCTATACTATTTTTCCTCTATAAGCAGGAAAAAAGACGATGTCATGATACAGATTGGGTAGGAATAAATAATTTCAGTTTTCTCTTTATTGGTATAGCGAGTGCACATAATGGGCTTCTTTCAAAGTTTTTCTACAAGGGCTAATTCTCAACTGCAAGACAAAACTGGGACTGTTTCTACTGCTCCCCACAAGACCTGTAATTAAAGAGAAGTTTGAGAGGTGCATGGAGAGAACTGATTACACAGACCGTCGGAGACTCTCAGTTCATCAATGGGCAAGGGAAACCTAGGTTCTGTGTTAGAAGTAAAATAAGAGCAATATGATTAATCAGGTTTCCCCCACCTCTCACTTCAGTGTTCTTCAGAGAGTGCTGCTTGAGGTAGCAAAAAAGACTGAAAAATGGATCAGGGACCCCCTTGGTTTGCAATTTGACCTTTTAGCGGGAAGATGTGTTTATGGAAATTTCTGTCATCCAGAGCGTTTTGCAATGACAGGGCATTTCAGCTCACATTTGGGGCAATTCCTCCTGTTCTTATTCTGACGTGGTCTGTGGAGCAGTGAGAAAGAGGCTCTGTTTGCACCCACATGTTTATGATAAAATGAGGAGGAAGAGCCAGGATGCTGAACTTGTATCCAGAGTTAGCTTTCTTTAGATCTTCTTGCTCTCCTGGAGTATAGCAGCATATCACCCCTCAGCCAATGAAATCAGTACAAAAATTTCCTAAATGAAGACTTGCTTCATGTATCTCCTTTTGGATGATGTCAGACACACTGGAATACATTGTTGAACGGACCTTAATTTGTCAGATGAAAAGAAGACCTCAAAGGAGTTGCAAGTTCATGGTGAATGCTCTGGGAAAAGCCTTTTCAGGCTTTCTGGGATTACTAATCATTCTGTCTTTATTCCTAGGGTAGATCTTGTAGAAAAGTTAGACAAACACACATTCATGAAAAATATGACACCACTTTGTTGAACTAGACCAACTGCAGAGCAGTGTCAGACAGGTCATATCCTTCCTCTGCCCTCATTCCCTGAGTGAGCATGGGTCCATCAAGTAACCTCATGAACACCAGTCTCTTGTTCTGAGCAATGATAATACAAACAACCAGTTCCTATGGAGGTGTGCGGGATAAACCAGAAGGTGTTTATAAAGCATTTCAACACATTCCTACAACATAGAAGGTACTGGATAAATGATACCATCCCTACAAAACAAAAGGAAATGGAACACAATGAAATAAAAGCCAAAAAGCAGCTATGACATTCTTCCCTTGTACCTTCAAACCCCTTGAGTCCATCTTTCATCTGAAGCTGCTGCTCCAAATCCAAATAAATGATACAGTCATTCAAGTCAATGTCTTTATAATAATACATTGTTTTCCATCTTTATTTTTTTATATGTATTCGATTGCATTCTTAGGAAGACAGGCGAGTGTTCATTCACCCTCAGCACTGGGTGAGGCTGGATCTCCCTCCCTCTGACCGACCTGAGCTCATGCGTTGCATCTTTAGTCTGTTTCTTCTGCCTGCTTTGGAAATTCAGCCCATCAAAAGGACAGAACTCCCAGGGGCCCAGAAACAGAACTGCACTTCAAACAGAGACATCATCACCAGTGAGGTTTAAACATGGCTAGCAAAAGCAAGAACCTAGGAGGTGTATTTTTCACCTTGTGGTTAATCTGCAATAAATGTCCTTTACATATACCTCGGAGGTGGAAGCGAAAGTGCTCCTTAAGCTGCAAACACCTCAGACTCTGACATGCGTTTAGGAAAGAGGCCCCTCTGCTGTCATAATTTACCGGGCTGTGACATGAAAGTCTCTGGAGTTCCTGCTAACCCTACACCATCTGCAATGAGTCTGAAGCCCCGAGCCCCCTGGTATCCTGATGACTAAATGAACTGAAATGGGCATATTTGTTAGAGTCAGCTGGGAAACCACACGACTTGGTTAGTTCTTGAGTTCATAAATTTATGTCAGAGCAAGAGGTGGCTCGGAAGCTCAAGTGAACCAATTTACC